CACACCACAGAGCTTCTGTACAGCTTCTGGTACTCCTTTGTGATCCGGCAACTTGATACTCACAAGGGTTTGCTGAGATGCAGAATTTATGACAAAGTTGCACCTTTGGCCATCCAGCTTTCCTGTCATGTAGACACTATGTGCACTTGCTATTTTACACTTAGCTGTTGGGACTTTCACAATAGGGGTTGGTGGGCGTCCTTCAGCACCAACCACTACTGCTTTCCCGAAGCTGACTTATTGGTAGTATTCTTCTTACTCTGGCTCCTCATATGTCCTTGCTCTCCACAGTTCCAACAAGCTTCCTGGGTAGCTGCCTTTCCTGCCATTGCATCTTCCCTGTGTTGAAGTTTCCAGCATTGAGCTTTCTTGTGCCCAGGTTTGTTACAGTGCCGCAAAGTCCCTCAAACCTCTCTGAAAGCTGACCTTTTCTGGCCTTAAATCCTGATGACTGTACCAACCTGTACCTCTGGTACCTCTGTGATGGACTTAATGTAGGATTCAAATTCAAGAGCTCTGGTCATTGCATCCTGCATAGTAGAGGGGTGTGCTTATTTTACTTGTATATTTAGTTGTGGACTGTCCAAGGCATCTACGAACTGATCCCTCAGCAACAACTTGAGGAGATCGGGTGGCGCAGTTGGGTAGGCCTTGTGTGTGTCATACTTTCCAAGTCCTGTGCCAGCTTTTGCAGGCTCTCCCCTTTAGCATGGACTCTCGTCCTAAACCTAGCCCTGTAGAATTCAGACTGATTTGGGGTTCCATACCTGAGTTCTAGAGCCGCTACCAGTGCTCTATAGCTGTGTCTGTCGTCTGCTGACAACTGTCCAAGTATTTCCAGTGGTTGTCCCTTCAGGCTCGTTGCCAGATATACTGCTTTCTGCTCCTCTGTCCATCCATTCATTTCTGCCAGGTGCTCAAAATGTGCTCTACATGCTTCCCACGGTGCCTTCCCATCGAATTCCTGTGGCTTCCTTCGTACTAGATCACTCCTATTACTGACATTCATATCTGGGATGTGACTTCTAACAGGACTG